CTTAGCTATTGGAAGGGACAGGGACAAAGCAACAGGTAAGCCGCACCGCGAAACGGACAAGCCCTCTAAAACGCTCGTACAGGAACGAACGAGCGCGTGGACTGCACAGTGGGTTGGTTTATATCTTAATGTTTAATTTCCATACATACCATTCATTTTATTTATCTGTTTGTACAATTCTAATTCTGTTTTTATACGGTTTTGATTTAACACAGTTTGAAAATTAAAAATGTTATACTTGTATATGGTTACACGACTTTATTCCACTTAGCACGATTTATTTTGCATATGATCAATGTCTTTTTACACGGCTTTTTTAGGAACCAATCTACCGTGTAAAAGCAGAAATAGATTTGCCTCGACATATAAGAGATGTTCAGCAATAAGCTCGTGTCTGGTAACAGGGAGAAGTCTCTGGGAAAATCTGCATCCCAATAGCTATATTAAGCTATAGTTGTCATAAGGTCCACATACAGATCGTCCTGACAATGCGTCATTAATATTGCACTGTAGTAATACAATACACCTAATTCTGTTTCTACCAGGCCCTTTTTACATGATTTGGATATAACACGGTTTGAAAATTAAAAATTTCATATATATTTCTCTAGATAGAAGGAACCAATCACCTATTTTTGCACATGTTCAATGACTTTTTTTACACGGTCGTTTCTGGAACCAATCTGTGGTGTCCTTTGAAAGTAAAAGAGGAAGAGCAGGGTCATGCAAAAGTTATACACCAACATACTAGTATGTACTTGTATTAAAAATCTCTTCGATCAAAACAATCAAAATTTTCGTGATGAGCCACTGTGGCGTCGCGCCAAGAGAAGCACAAGCACATTACGATGGCGGCTTCGGCGACGCTGAGACGTTTCGACAAGTAAACAACGCGCGGACAGAGACAGTGAAAACTAATTAGCATGTGATGGGGTTGATGCGCGCCTCTTTTGCTGGGTGGGTGTGTTTCGCGCTGCGAGAGAAGTCTATCAGTTGGACTTTTTGTTGCTTCTCTTGTTGTTGTTGTTGCGCTTGAACTATTTTTGCTATTCGCGAACGGCGTGCAGTGGCGACAGGTTTCTTTGGTATGCACTTGACGTTATTTTATAATTACACATTCTGCTGTTATTAACATTTTAATCGGTAATTTGAATACCAATAAGGATTAGAATTTCCCTCATTGCTCTCTGCTTACGTTGATTGCTGTGCATTCTAATTCTTATTACGAGCACATTGTTTGCTTGACATCTTTTTTGTATTTATGTGCAATAATATATGTATAGTATATACATACATATATGTAAGTATACATATGTGGAATGTAAACAAATATGTACATATAGTATACATATACATATGTATATGTACGTAGGCAATGGCTTTTCCTTTTGTTTCATTTTCCTATGTTATCTGACGTATTTGGCTGCCGTTGGCGCTGCCGTCAGTTTGCATTTTTGGCAAATGCGACGCAGTTTCCGTATACTTTTATACGCCGCATTTAGCATTTCTGAGTAGAAGTCGACAAGCTTTTCTGGGTAAGATGATAAGTTAAACTCGCAACAAAGATTTATACCCAAAGGTTAAAAGAGTCCTAGTATTCATGCAACATACAAGGATGCGTCGCTTGGTCAGTACAACGATCGGAGTTATTAGAAGTATGAGTGTATATATTCTTGATGAGATAAGTTGAGGGTCAACTCTGTGCTGCATACAAAGCTTGAAGAAACGCCACATGAACTGATTATGCAAGTATGTACTCGTATTTACTGGGGTAAAAGAAACGAGGTCCTTCTAAATTAATGCTGTTTCGAAAGAACTAATTCTGTTTAGTTACTATAAGATCCATACAAGTAGTATAGATGTCAGATGGGGAAACAAATTGAAGAACTTAGGAAGAATTTGAAGAATTTCATTTTCAATATTCACAATGATAGAGAGTCGATCTTAAAAACCTAGTGCCCCTCCTACGCGTGCCTGTGTGTCTGAACTGTTCTGGTCCAAAGCAGAAACATAAACACGATCTGCTGGCGAAGCATGGGCAGAGATAACACTTGTGTCAAAAACTTCGTTTAAGGCTGTGCTATTACGATGATATGAGGATTCATAAACGCTTACCGTATGTAATTGGCAAATTAAAGTACATAAATTGATTCAAATAATTTTGGGAATTATAATTATTAATTATCCTAGTGGGGAATGGAAGCGTGTATTAGGAAAAAAACATAATACATATTGTCCTTCTCCGACATAGATGAGATTCTTGCAATTATACAGATAGGCAGAAAGAGGGGACACCGCTATATCGACCCGTCTTGTCATACTGAATATATACTTTGTGGAGTATTAGGATATGAAAACATCGAAAGATCTTTCGATACAAAGGAGATCTCAGAAATTAACTTTACCCACTAAATGTCTTACCTTGACAAGATTTTCGGAATCCTAAAGTAGGAAAGGGTCTACTCGACTTTTTTGTGGTACAAGGGAGATTTTATTTAAAGCTTCCGGCTTACTGTGGCATTTAAAGCCGGAATTTGAAGCTAATATGCAAGTAAAGCCTACTCGTTCGTAACCAGGCACTTTTAAAACATAAAACAAGAAAGGAATGCTAAAGTCAAGAGGGCTCAACTCTTAAAAAAAAGTTTTTAAATTAATTTTAAAAAGTATATTAATTTAATTATTTAATTAAATTAAATACAAGGTGCGTTCCAAAGTAAACAGGACTTTTTGAATCTAGCGCCCCCTGGTGGCGCTATCTATATGTCGACTGGTGCGTTAGAATCTGCTATCTTTATCGATTGTCCAGTGAGAATTTCATGACACTTCGTATCGATTGGAAGTGAAGTTATTGCGTTTTAAGTGTCAGTATGTTTGTGTTATCGGTGCAAAAATGAGCTTCGAACAAAGAGCCAACATTAAATTTTGTTTTAAAATTAGTAAAACTTTTACCGAAATTATAATTATTAATTTTACTATTGATGGAACAAGTTTAAGGAGATGATTGCCTATCCCGTAGCAGAGTGCACGAGTGGTTTCAACGTTTTCAAAGTCGTGAGGACATAAATGACGATCAACATGTGGACCAATCAAAATTCGTGATCACCGAAAATTCGAAACTGTGCGTGAATTCATCAAAAATCAGCCGAAATCATCATTGAAATTGATGGAAATGGAATTGAACATCTCCAAAACATCGATTTATCGCATTTAGACCGAACATTTGGGTTTACGAAAGGTGTGTGCACGGTTTGTTCCGCACAAATTGACTGACGACCAAAAATTGCTCAGACGATCGACGCTTGTGACCGATTATTTGACCAAAAATCACATTTTAACCATTAACCACTCGCCGTATTCACCTGATATGGCACCGTGCTACTTCTACCTTTTCGGAAAAATGCATTTGCCCATGAAAGGAAAGCGTTATGCAGACGGAGAGGCCATTCCAAATGCTTGCACCGGCATACTGGCGGCCAACGATCTAAAACACTCGTTCAACATGCTTTTGGAACGTGCAAAAAGCTATATTGAAGCAGAAGGAGACTAATTTGAATAAAATAAATTGATTTTGCCGAAAATACCATTTGTTCTGTTTTTTTTTTAAAGTCCTGTTTACTTTGGAATACACCTTGTACACATTTTTCAATCCATATATACAAAAGTGGAGACATGTTCATGTACAGTTTCAACAGCTTACATTTACATCAAAATCGTGTCTCTGTGTGTTTATATGCGTGTATGTATGCAGCACAAAGTTTAACCAAAGCAAACAACAACAACAGATGCAGGCAGAGCTGCAAGCATTTATGGCTATACCTTTCTTCAGAATTGAACTATCAAGATAAAACTTAGCATACGGGCAGATAACCACAAGCTGGGTGTAATTGCCATGAATGTAATTGAGTTGGAATTTCCAAGAATTATGGGAGTTATGGAAAAAAACACGAATTGGGGAGAGTGGGGAGGTATATCAGAATAAAAACAACTTGACGTGGCTTGGGCTTAGGGGCACCTGGATATCAAGTTTGGTAATTCTAGCTCTTGTACCTTCTGAGATCCTTGCGCTCATACAGACGAACAGACAGATGGACAAACAAACGGACGGACACACAGACAGACGGACATGGCTATATCGACTTGGCTTGTCACCCTGATCAAGAATATATATATTATTTGTGGGGTCTTTCACGCCTCCTTCTGTCTGTTACATACATTCGCACAAAACTAATATAGCGTTTTACCCTTTGGGTACAGACCTTAAAAATGCAGTTGGTTTTAAAAAAATATGGGATTAGTTTGAAACTGTATTCAGAACACGTACGGGCATAATATTCGAAAATATTATTTAATACAAATAATTAAAAAACAGGATAGGATAGCTGGAGTGGGGCGGACCCAACTCTTAAATACCCTGCGAAAGCAGCAACAGCCAAAACAGCTGCAGGCAGCTATGGAAAAAACCTAACAGTGGGATAGTGGGTGGAAGGGGGAATGAACGAGCTGTGGTTATGTGTTTTGCTCAGAAAATGTAAAATTCTACGACTAGAGCAAGCATGAAGTATGGAAGAATTGTATAGATTGCCTTTTAATAGGTGCGCCTCGACAGAATTTGTAATTTTCGACACTAAAGTATAGAAATATATATCGGCTCGCAATAGTTGTGCCTTGATCTATCACATTGCGTTACTTCATTGTCGCTGAATCATCGTGGGATTAAGACAGCCTTGATTTGATCGCTTGAGAAAAAGTGTATGAATCTTCATGGAGAATATTAAAAATAACGATTGAGATATTTTCATAGATGAACCACTATTTATTCAACGGTACATACGATTAAATATAATTTCTTAAGAATTGGCACAGATTTATGATTATCTTTTGTTCATACACAAAATGCTGCAATGCTGCACTTTAAAAACTATCTGATATTTTTCCAAAACGTTTTTACATTTTAAGCAACATATTATTATTATTTGGATAATTTGACAAGAAGCGCTATTTTTGTTAGACATTGTGAGGGCCAAAGCTATTTAAATTTTTAAAGCGGTTTTAAATCTAATCATAAGAACTCTGACTATATATTTCAGTAGATAGGCAGACAAATCCTTTTAAATGGTTCAACTCATTAATTGCTTATTACCAACCAAAATGGATTAGACAAAGTGTGACGTAAAAAGCGAAAACATTTTACAAACAACTCGAGTATTCCGCGGATGCCTAAAGAAAAAGGCGAAAGCCAAAAGAGCGACCAAAATAAAAGCACAAATAAAAATAGAAGACTTTTGTTAAAGCGAAATGAAAAGATATAGAACCAAAATCGAGGAGAAAATAGATTTAAGATTTTTAGAAGAGTTTTGCGATTTAGTCGACTTTAGTGAATCGCGGCGATCACACGTCCAAAACATTGTCTGGTTGTATCGCCAACCAAAATCGGCGCATGGCAGATATACATAGTTGTTTTGTTGTTGGTTGAAGATAATTAATGAGGCGGTCCAAGAACAGAAGCAGAAGAAGAAGGCGTGTGCTCGTTCAATTAAGAAATATTTACTGTAAAAAATAAGCCATAAAACCATTATTAACTTGCTTATATAAAAAACACAAAAACAAAACCATCATATACATAGTGCGACAAACACAGTGCTTATATAATAGCTAAGGGTAAAGGGTCAAGTGCGGCTCTGCACAAGCCCTGAAGGATACGCAATGGACTCGGAAAAAGTAGTTCGCGCCATGGCGCGGTGGTGGCAGGTAAATAAACATTACAATGGGGTAGATGTGGCTATAGTCAGCAAATAGGGAGGCTCGCCCGCCTTTTAAAAATAAATGCACGCCCACAATCATAAATAATTTGCAATATACATATTACATTTTCATTTACATTTTTGCTTCGACTTGTTCTTCCTAAATGCTCTCAGTCCGGCGGAGGCGTGCAACGTGTCCCAAATTTTGGTTATTTTTGCTTGGCATTTGCGTGCGTCTCGCAGCAGCGTCAGAGTGCTATAAAAAGTCTTTAGCATTGCCCAAACGGCAAAGAGCAGTTTGCATATAATTCCGCATGTTGCAGATATAAAAGTCAAAATTAGCGTAAGAGACGAACTGAGGACCATGAGCAGCATTTTTCTGTCGTTGCTATAGCTGTTTTGGCACGATTTGTGGAATCGATTTAATTTGCTTCGCTCGGCGCCAAGACATTCGCCAACAGGGGAGGGATAGGGCGTTCTGGTGGGGTTGTCGTCACACAGTCAACTGGTAGCACGTGTTGCTGCTATAGTTCAGAGTATAAAATAGACTCGTGGTAGGGAGGAAGTAAACATTCGATCAATGGCACTTACATCATTGGACATCCGCCTCTCTCACCCCGCAGACCGTTAGCCAAGAGGATGCCGATCCCACTGCACGCAATCCAATGCTCTACGATCCACTGCAAGATGGTGTTGTTAAGACATCCAAGACGCGTCAATATCTGGCTGCTTTTATTGGTAAGTAGTCGCCCTTTGCGTTTCAATCACTGAATTTTTGGAACAATCCTCTCTTTCTGCCTTTCTCAGTTTGCTTGGGGGCTGTAGCTGCCGGAACAGCTTTGGCCTGGACTAGCCCTGTCCTGCCTCAGATCAGTGCACCTAGTAATGGCAATACCACAACGGCTAACAGCACTGTTGCGAATGGCACTACAACCACACCATCTGATGTGGGCCTACAACTTACACCGGAACAGCGTAAGTAATTTATCAGTTGAGTGCAGCTTATCAGCCCCAGTGCAGGGGGATTAGGGCACTAACTTGGGCATTCTTGCTTTAATAACCATGCACGATTGCTTCTGTATACCCTGTGCACTAAGCATAAATGGGTATAAACGTGAAACGTATGCAACAGCCTGAACAGTCTTTCCTTCCGTAATCCAGATAGCCTAACGTGGCATCCATTCGTAAACCAAGTTTTTTACAAACCATATACAGCTATAGGACCGATGGGTAAAAAATCACTCTTATTAGAATATGAATATGAATTAGTACCAACAACTTTTTTATTTATGGCAAAAAAATGTTTATATGCTTAAAATACTTCACCATAATCTAAGGTTTCATCGAAATTGTTGCATAATATGATATTGTAATGATTGCCACAACAAAGTTTATTTAAGTAGAATGACTGTGTCGGACATAGCGGCTGGGATTACAAGAGTTATATCTCTAGTTATTTTTAAATATTTTTTTTATCTAGTACATACGTAAATTTGTGATCAGCCTGAGTAGTTTTCTCGGTCTGTCTATGTAAACGGAATTATCTCGGAAAGGAAAATGGTATAAATGTATATATATAATGTGCAGATTGTTCTGTTCCCGAGGCTTGTATAACTCTTTTAAAGAGTAAGGGTGCGTGAAGGTCAAGCATTCCACTTGATTTCAGTTGGCCATATTTCTTCGAACTAATCTGTTACCGACTTTGCCGACAGACACTTTACTGCAATTGATCAATTATAGTAGTAGGTAAAAATATTTGGACAATATATTATAAACAGTTTTTTAAGAATTACTTGTACTTTTTCAGAGACCTGGGTGAGCTCGTTGCTGGCCATTGGCGCCTTCTTTGGTGCGTTGCCCACAGGCTACATCGCAGATGCAATTGGACGACGCTACACTGCACTAGCCATGGATATACCGTTTGTTTTGGCCTGGTTATCGATAATATTCGCAAAGTCGGCTGGATGGCTTTACTTCGGACGTTTGTTGATAGGTAAATTGGTTCAACGAAAAAATGTAACATTTTTGCTCAACATCAGTTTTACAGTTACGTTGATTGATTAGTTTTTAGTTTTACAGTTTGAAAGACTGTATTTAGGAACTGCGTTATATTTAGTGACTAATATCAACCCACAAATCACTTGAAATTACTCGTAATATTTAGAAAATATAGGAATACACATATTAAATTGGAAATAAATAAATACATACAAGCATATTCAATGCATACATACATAAGTGGAGAAAAATGTTTATGTACAGATTTATCAGCATTTATTTATAATACATCAAAATCGTGTTATGTGCGTGTATGTGTGCATTACGGAATTAAGGCAAAACAGCAGAGATTACATTTATCCTTTCAAATTTACCTATCATTGATGAATCTTCTCATACGGACACATAATCACTGACTGCAGGTACTATTTGACAAATTTGAGTCAAAAATTCCAAGAATTACGGGAGTTATGGAAAATTATTAATTGCGGGGGAGGGAGGGATGGATGGATGAAAATTATGAAATACACATTCTCTATAACGGGAAAGTGGGAGGTGTATCAAAACAATAAAACAAGCTCGTTTAGCGTACACACATAGGGCATCTGTGTATAAAATTGGTGTCTCTATCTTTTATGGTCACTGAGATCCAGGTGGTCATATGGACGAACAGACGGACGAACAGACTAAGCTAAATTGACTTGTCTTGTCAGGCTGATCAAGAATATATACACTTTGTGGGGTCTGCCATACCTCCTTCTGCCTGTTACATTTTTTGCCACCCTACTTGTAATATACTCTTGTACGTCTCATGTACAGAGTATACAAATAAAAAGAGAATAGATAAAGCGATGTTGCGCTGTCATAGATATAATATGATTTAGACAGTACCATTATATGAAAACAGTTTGTCCACAAATATATTGGATGTGAATTGTTTTATTTGACGCTTTGGCCCTGACTACCAAACGGAGAATAAATATAAAATGTTTTATACTGAAATATTTGATAATCCATAAATGAAACCATAGATCCGCGGCTTATGATAGATTCAATTAAGTCGAAGATAGTTCATGTAGGCTGCTCTGAGCTTACTCAATATATGTGATCTTTTCCAGCCAGATGAATAATAATTAGGGCTGTTCTTGTATCGTCACATAACACACACTTATTCAGGTATGTTTATATTCCAAGTTTAAAGTATGTTTTGTTTACCCTTTAACACAGGCATCTCAACTGGTAGCTTTTGTGTGGTGGCACCCATGTATATTTCGGAAATTGCAGAGACGAGTATACGCGGTACTTTGGGAACTCTATTTCAGTTACTGCTGACTTTTGGCATTCTCCTCGTCTACCTGATTGGTTCAGTGGTATCGTGGAAAACTTTGAGCGTCCTGTGCCTATTTGTTCCCATTGCATTGTTTATCGGCATGCTAATATTGCCCGAGACACCAGTCTACTTGCTGAAGAAGGTGGGTTTACTTACTCTTTTGTTAATGAGCATTGTGGCGATGTGTTTGGGTGTGGGAGGGCTGAGCAGTGAAGACGATTTAAAATATGTTATAAAATGTGTTCATATAAATATCTAGATTTACCAAAGCTTGTTTGTCCTGATCTAAAATTGTAATCCGAAGATGAAAGTCGCTCACTATAGAGAAAATCTGTAAAGTTTTTGCATTCATTTGTTTTCGATTATTTGTTTAAAAGCGCAGACTAGTAGTGCAGAGTTCAATGTTTCCGGTTGCAAAAAAAACTCACTACATCAAATTTTCGAAATTTGCCAAACATTACTTTCGTCAAAAAAAAAAACAAGTTCTTTCTTTAAACAAACAATCGTGAGTGTTACCTCAGAATACTCATTTTTTTTCCGTAGGTGATTGGACACTTATTTACATTATTATGTAGCTCTTAATTAATACAACTTAAATATTTTTCGATAAAAAATTAATCAATTGCTTTAAAATATTAGTTGACAAACCTAACATAAGATGGTATGTTTTTTTAGGACAATACTACTTAAGTTACTATTAGAAAAGTGACTTCTTAAAAAATCCTTTAAAAGTGGATTTGAAATTGGATTGGCATTTTATTGAAGAAGATTACAAGTCAATGAGAAACGACATGTAGTGTTGATAAATAATTTGAAAAGCAACTTAATGGATAAATAATAATAATAAACGTAAAATAATCTAGCTATTTTGTATACATATTATTTGGGTATAATTAGCCAAAAACGGCTCAAAGGCCTCTATACTCTGTACCGGCTGCAGTGCTCCCATTACTTGTAAGATAAACTTTGTTGCCTACTTGTACGAGTATATGAAATAGTGTACTGGTTTTGGTGCTCCCTCAGAATATAGTGATACATTAAACAAATTTCAAATTTAGTTAAGTGTTTAGACTTCCGTATAATCTTTACTTTTTCTTCTCGACCAGGATTTACGAGTATATGTGCCTATATTATATCCCATATTATATTAGAAATTTTGTCTGCATTGAAATATTATAATAAACTGTATTTAAATTTAATCTATCTTTTCTTGCAGGGTCGCCGCGCAGACGCTGCTCTTTCACTGAAGTGGCTTTGGGGTCGTTTCTGTGATTCACGCTCCGCCATTCAAGTCATACAAAACGATCTGGACCAGGCAGGCACCGATGCCTCGTTTCTTGACTTGTTCAGCAACCGTGCAGCGCGCAATGGTCTCATCATCTCTATGCTGCTGATGTTTTTCCAGCAATTCTCCGGTATCAATGCTGTTATCTTCTACACTGTGCCCATCTTCAAGTCTGCCGGCAGCACGCTCAATCCCTCCATATGCTCAATTATTGTGGGAGCCGTGCAGGTCATCATGACCCTAACGGCTTCATTGCTGATTGAACGCGCCGGTAGAAAGATATTGCTCCTCTTCAGCAGTACTGTTATGACCATTTGCCTGGCTATCCTGGGCGCATACTTCGACATGAAAGACAGTGGTAAGGATGTGTCCGCTATTGGCTGGCTCCCGCTTCTGTGCGTGGTTCTATTCATGATCACCTTCTCGGTGGGCTACGGACCCATACCATGGTTGATGATGGGCGAGCTGTTTCTCCCCGATGTTAAAGCAACGGCCGTCGCGTTAACTGTGATGTCCAACTGGTTCTGCGTGTTTGTGGTGACAAAGTGTTTTGGCTCCATGATCGCCGCCTGGGGATCGGATATGACGTTCTGGTTCTTCGCCGCCTGCATGGCTATTGCCACACTCTATGTGGCCACTATGGTACTGGAGACGAAAGGCAAGAGCTCTCAGCAAATTCAAATGTGGTTAAATGGCAGCATGTGAGGAACCGAGTGTTTACAGAAGCTAAAGCCACGTACTTGGACTCATTAATGTAAATAGGGAGCATAGAATGTAATGGCAATGCGGAAGTGTTACGTATACGCCACGTATGTACAAGTAACTCATACGCTAGTTTTGTGCAATCTTTTATCAAATTGCTTGATTTGACTCGAACGCTAAGTGAATGTATGTATGTAATTCAATTAATTAGTAAGTGCACAGCCATTTGAATAATTGCCGATCTTCAGCGGTAGATAAGTTAAAAGTGGCAATCGTGAATTGCTTATACAAACACAGGCATACAAATACACTCTTCTAGTTTATCGTAGCTGTTGGATTTTTTGTTGCCGTAGCCAATTTCGCTTTTGTAGTATTTCGATATGTTAAGTTGTAGCCATAAAGAAATGCGTATATTGATAATAAATAGCTAAATTGTATGTATGTATATATATAAAAAAATAATAAATATAACACAACACACACACATGTACATTTGTCTCTGTGTGCCTTATGTGCGCCTGGCAAATTTCCACTTTAAGCTGCTGCGACCCCGACGCCATAGATAACCCCTTAGAACTGGCGTCTGTTGGGCGTGGGGCTGTGATAGCCGTTACGCCCCTTTAATTTGTGTAATTGTAAATGATTGCGCTTATCAGCACGCGCTCAGACAAGAGGTTGTCACAACAAACAATCATACGAGGCACGGGAGCCAGCCAGCCAGCCAGCCAGCCAGACCTACACACAGCTCTAGCCCTAATCAAGCAGATGAAAAGAGTTTGGATTGGAAAGGTGATTGATAAAATGATAATGCTATAAAAACGACATGCAGGAGTGGACCTTAAGAACCATTTTTTTGTCATTTTGTTGTTTGTCTTTTGACCTTTAATGCTAGAAATCCCCGCTTCTTTTTCATTCTTTTGACCTCTTAATGCCCGGGTATATGGTAAAAGGGTATCTGAGCTAGTAACATATAGAAGGAGGCGAGACAGACCACATGGAGTATATGTATGTAATCTAAATTATGATGATGAAATGAGTCTGCCTGTATGAGCGCACGGATATCGGGAAGTATACTATAGAATAACCACAAGAAACTTTTTTCCGATCCATCCACCGTACTCTCCCCCTATTACTGTTTTTTAGAACTCTCCTATTTATTGCACTTTGTGTATCACATTTATCAATTACAGTTGTTCTTGTTGCTGCTTTGCCTCAATTCTCTACTGCACACTCAGACACAATCCCGATGAAAATTTACGCTTTTGAAACTCTACATAATAAATGTCCCTACGTACTTATTATATATTTTTTCTTTTTCAGTTTTATTTTTATTTTACTAGGCTTTTTATAATGCAATGCTTGTTCTAAGTAAAATATTATGTGTGGGGGTACAGGGTATTTAAGAGTTGAGCCCGCTTGAGAATTGTTGCGCACACTGTCCATAAATTAGTGTTGGCTGCATGAATCCATTCTCGTGACCCGTCATTTAGTTTTGTTTTCCAAAATTTACTTCAAAAAGCAAAAGTGTTAAATTTTTTGAACAGTATTACAAAATAAGTCGAATAACAAGAAAGGAGTGGGCTCAACTCTGAAGTACCCTGTATAACCCCCCACAAAAAAAAATATACATTTTTTTAAATTAATTAATTAATTATTTAAATAAGCAAATAAAATTAAATAAAAACTGTTCAATACATACAGCATACTCGTACATAGGTGGAAAAATATGTTAATGTACAATGTCAACAGCATAATTTACATCGGAATCGTGTCTGTGCATGTTTATGTGTGTGTACTCGTATGTATATGTCACCAATTGGGAACAGGGTATAACAAGTCCCATAAAAGGCACCTGCTTGTTGTTAGATGCACACAAACTTCCCCGTTCAAATTATTATTACATACATATGTATGTACAACCATGCAGTTTTTATGCTGACTGAGCAACTAGGAGGGACTTATATATTCACAATACAAATGTACATCTACGCATATTAATAATCGAACGAATTGATATTGGTTTGATTGTATGTTATACGCAGAAAGCCCTTGGAAATCTGGGTGAAAGTTAATTTATTAATACTTTTATTAATTTGTAGAAGTTAAATGCATATATATTTCTTATGATAGTGTGAGTAGGGGACCGGTGGACCCCCTCGATGCCTTTTAATTCCTTTTTTCACAGAGAATGGATATCGTAATAGAAATAAACGACGCATTCGCACTTCTCCACACCTCACAGCAAGCAGTTACGTTTCCTGCTGGCCATCGATTCGCATTGGCTCCAATGTCAAGGTCGATACGCGTACCAAACGCCAATTAAAATCTTGCCAGCATACATACATACATACATGCCTTCATATGTGCATACGCACATCAGAACATACAATTACATACATATGTACATACGATGTTGTTGTTGCTGTCCCACGTTCAATTGCAAACAAAACAAGATAGAACGCTACAGTCGAGCAAGCCCGACAGTAAAATAGCCTGTACTCTCCACAAAAAGGAAAAATTTAAAAAAAATTAAATTATTAAAAAAAATGAATGAATGAATTAATTAAAATAATTAATTAAATTAAATTAGAATACATGTTTATGTTCAGTTTAAACAGCATACATTTACATCACGTACCTATGCGTGTTTATATGCGTGTATGTATGCAGCACAAAGTTAAACCAAAGCAGCAACAACAACAACAGCTGCGGGCAGCGCTGCCGACAGAGGCAGCGCATGAGCAGCGATTTTACTTATGGCTATAACTTTCTTCAGAATTGACCTATCATGATGAAATTTGGCACACGGACACATTAGTACTAACTGGATGTACCTACCAAAATTGATTTTTAAATTCCGAGAATTACGGAAGTTATAAGAAAAAATACGAATTGCGGGGGAGTGGGGGGGTGTATCAGAAAAAATAAACAAACTCGTTCTGCCTAGGGCTTATAGGAACCTTGATACCAATTTTGGTTATCCTAGCTCTTGTACTTACTGAGATCCTTGCGCTCATACAGACAGACGGACAGACGGACAGACGGTCAGACGGACAGACGGACATGGCTATATCGACTCGTCTTCTCATCCTGATCAAGAATATATATACTTTGTGGGGTCTGCCACGCCTCCTTCTGTGTGTTACATACATGCGCACAAAACTAGTATAGCCTTTCACCCTTTGGGTACAGGCTATAAAAAAACGGCAGCTTGCGAGCGGTTGTATGCAAACATTTAATTGCATTTTACTGCAATTGTTGTTGTCAGTCAACGCCTCCGCCTGTGTCTGTGCCTGCGTCAGCATTGATGTCGTTGGCGGAAATTTGCGGAAGCGACACACATACATACATATGTATGTAACTGGTTGTTGTTGTTATCTTATGGTTTGGTCGTACAAGTATAGTTGAGGGAGGACAAGCATTTTAAAAGTGAAAATGTTGATTGAGTGTTTGTCAAAAAAGTTGATATGTTTTTAGTTGTTCAATAGAAAGAGCCCCAAGTAAACTAGCTTGTAAATATTTGATATTACTTGTATATATGATTATATGATATTTGATCACCTATTGCCTTGGAGGTATAACCATTTTGTCATATTGTAATCCATCTTAAATCCATTACAAATTTCAATCTTTCATAAATCACATAAAAAAGAAATTGCTGATGAGAAAGGCCAAATTAGAAATGGAAATTTCCCACGGCACTACGAAACAATGGTAGGTAGAAAGGGCGTACGCAGGGGGGGACGTTGCACTCCACTAGAAAAAATGTTGCCATACAAGTATAAAGTCGACCACACGTTCATTATTATGACGCACTATTTCGCCTTAAAATGGAACTGAGTTGGATTTGTTGAAGTTTTTTCATTGATCATATGCATAAATTTTATAAGTGCATCGTGCATTATTTAATCAAAATTTTAATTTTTGATCGAAGTTGGTTACTGACTTATGCTTCATTTATTTAACTTTAAGTTCTTAGACTATGTGTTCGACTTCAGGTCGTCATCCAGCGACCATATTGCTGGAGCTGTGAATAACATTGACGGAATAGTCAACCGTGTTAAACGAACTAAATGGAAAATTGAATGCCATTCACAAAAAACTCCGCATTTGCATCTAACTGCGAATTAGCATTTGAATTTGATTTTCTAACCCTTGCTAAACCAAGCTGGCTTCCCCCATGAAGACTGAAATACGCGTTTTAGACTGATAGAGTGCAACCACTCCAGAAAGTGAGGGAGAAGTGAAGCCTTGTAAGCTTTAGCTTCCACTCACCGACAATAATTTATATATTATACATAGATGAATTTCTTATTTTCAAAAATATCAAAAGTACATTTAATTTTTTTTTTTTTTTCTTCTGTTTAATCAAAGCATTGAAGCCGTGCATTCAGATTAGCACCTTAACAATACATTTTTACAAATAGAAAATAGCCTAACCTCGAGCACTTCCGCGCGAGGATTAATAAGTAAGTGGTGGCTTATGCTTATCTAAATGTTTTGAAAAAACCTAATCGTTTCAGTCTTCACAAAGGTCTAGCAAAAGTACATTTGAATTTTATTACATAGATTTGTATCGTGCTTACAGACATGTCCGTCCGTCTGCTTGTCTGGATGAACGCAAGGATCTCAGAAACTGTAAAAGCTGGAATAGCCAATGTTGGTATCCAAATTATCCTGGGTCCGAGAAGGGACGAGTTTATTTTATTTTTTGGAATTTTCCCTCCCTTCCCCCGCTGCAGAATTTTGTCAATACTGTCCACATTTTAAAAGCTACATAAACTTTGCACACGCTATCTATGTACAGTTATCTTTAGTTTAAAATGTTACCCAATTCGGTCCATTCTAAGAAAAGTTATTAGCGAAACCAACTCTCTCTCCAGTACAACAAGTTCGCTCTTCTTCTTCCTCTTTTTGCTTCTGCTATGGACGCATATAACTCAGTGACGGAAGTTTGTCTGGGAACAGGGTATTTCCCTGTCGGGCTTGCTCGACTGTAGCGTTCTCTCTTGTTTAATCTTTTGGATAAAGGGGGTAAAAAGACCACAAATGATTCCAAACACCAATATCTAGTTAATATAAATAAATAATAATTGATATCAACTTGCTGATACCCTTTTACTCCTGAGTCTTCAATTTCAGCTTTCAACACGTTACTACAAGTATGCTTCCAAATATTTCGATTTTAACGACAGCGCGTGCAGTTTTACTTTAATTGTTCAAAGCCACGCATTACAAATAATAGTTATATGAGTGATTATGTATACTCGACTCGTTTTTGTACTAGAACATAGAACGAGTAATCAATAAAAATTCAGTTCCCAACTTATATGCCGGCCGCATTTTAATGAACTTCCTCAAAGCGGACTCCGCCTGCTACATACATAGATAACAATCAAGTGCTGAAAAGTGCGGAACTAGTCTCCACCGAATACACAAATTTAGGAGGCAGCCCACTGCCTATTTAGTGTAATTTAAATGCATAATTTCGTACGGAAAGCACCTCACAATTGTCTGGAGGCCAGAGACAAAGGCATAATGATAGTATCACAACATTTCGAGCTCGGTTCAGTTCAGTTCAGAGCTTAGTTCAACGCTCGCTCCACCATTGTTCCATTTGCTCGCTCCGATGCGACACTTTAGTGTCTATTTGGACGTGTGTGTTTGCACAAGTAAGTGCGATTATTCTCTACTCACACTTGCTATTGAATACGAACTGTAAATGTCATATTACTCGACTCAACTCGACTCGATATTAGTACGCCTACAAAATCGGCTCAGCATTCGGGCTCCGCCAGCATTTGCGTACTGACAGTGGCCACACCGGTCGATCCGTTGTTCATTAGTTCATTAGTCGGAGGGATTAGTCAGCGGACAGTCAGCAGAGACAACTGCATAATTAAGCTGTTTTAAACGCATTTGCGCTTTGTTTTGAGTTACGTTCAACTGATAGTTTTTGGCAAAATGGGTGAGTACTAGAGTTCCAAGTCGTATATCTAGTTTATAACTAACATTTTGTGAATAATTCGTTCAACGTTTTTATGGAAATGGATAGTTCTCGTAAATTGTGTTTTCTATTTCGAAAACGTAGTGCACTCTATGAGCTTAATAAGTCTTGAGTTATGGAACTGCAACATTTCATTTCCAATTGGCAATTGTTTAATTCAACAAAGAATTTATGAGCTTTTGTCTTTTTTGACCCTGGCAACTGACAGAATTGAATTCAAGGTAAAGATTTAAAGCCAACTATCTCTCTATCTCTCTATAACAATTAATTAAAGTTAATACTCTAAATTATATTTTATAGATGGGGTCAGAAGTATTAATCAATTGAATATTTATCCACCAGTAAATCTTATAATTAATAATCCTGGTAACTGTCGTAATATAACTTATATTGAATATTAATGCTATGAAAATTAATGCTTGAAAATTTAATGCTAAATTAGATACAGTTGCACATATTGAACTTATTGCAAAGGATTCGAATATTTTGGGTACTATTTATACCATTTATATTAAAATAATAGCTCCAGCATATAAAATTGCATTTAATAAAGAAGACCATTTATAAAATACGAAAGATATAATTCCTATTATATTGGACCCAACTGCGTAACAGCTGATTCGCAGGGCATTTAGTTTCAAGAAAAATCCAAATTCAACAATAGGACTTCGAAAGATCCTATTAACTAAACAAGAGAGAACGCTACAGTCGAGCAAGCCCGACAGTGTAATACCCTGTACCCAGGTAAACTTCCGTCACTGAGTTATATGCGCCCATAGCAGCAGCAAAAACAGGAAGAAGAAGAGCGAACTCGTTGCTGCAGTTTGTGGGGGTTGTACTGTAGAGAATTTGTTTCGCTAATAACTTTTCTCAGAATTGACCGAATTGGATACAATTTTAAACAACAGTAGACAATTATATATAAATTATGTGTGCAAAGTTTGGTTGAGGTAGCATTTGAAATGTGGACGCTATTGACGAAATTCTGTAGCGGGGGAAGGGGGGGAAAATTAAAAAAAAATAAATAAACTCGTCCTTACTCGGACCTAGGAGAATCTGGATGCCAACTTTGGTTATTCTAGCTTTTATAGTTTCTGAGATCCTCGCGTTCATCCAGACGGACAGACGGACGGACAGACGGACGGACATGTCTAGATCGATTTCTCTCGTCATGCTGATTCAGAATATATATACTTTATGGGGTCGGAGATGCTTCCTTCTGCATGTTACATACTTTGCACAAACCTAATATACCCTTTTTACCCTACGGGTACAGGGTATAAAAACTTCCTCAGTACCTTATAATAAGGCTTACTTAATCCCCAATAAATGAAGTTGATAATTGCACCAAAAATGCAGTGTTTAAAGTTCATTATGTAAATAGCCCTCGAAATAATAGGTTTACGACTCAGAATCAAAAGATGCTTATTTGCTAGCATTGGAAAGAATTACTTTTTAATGTATATGTGGGTATTTCAAATCTAGAATGTGCCTATATCAAGTATGTATATTTGATGCAACCAGCATCATTATTGCGGAATATTAATACACTTTATTGCACTTTATATTATGTATTGACTTTGCTCCCTTGGAAGGGGACTTAAATAATATTTGTTTCCTTTCCCATATATGTACATAGTAAGGTGAAAGCGTTATTCCTTTGATTTTTTTTTAACACCCACCGACGGCAGAATGGTACACCACTTGAAAAAGTAAATGTTTCTGGTGAGAGATTTGATACAGCAGACATCAAGGACTGATTCGTGGTTTATCCCTAGTAGGAATAGATTCGGTGGGGTCGTTTATCAACAACTTTTTGAGCAACTTTGATGGCATAATATTCGCCAGTGGCCCTCTTTCCACTTCCCTCTTTCCACATCTTTTTTATTTGATATTTGAAACCATTAGTCACAAGAGTCCAATGTATATGTCTTCCACGAAGGTTGATGCTTGATTCACTTCTTCTGCCTTTTTATGGAAAGTATGATCTTTATATCGCAGCATATCCTTAAGTATACCAAAAAACTGCCACATCGAATTCCGTATTTTATAGTAGCGCTCGCACTATAATAACTTAATTGCCCTTCTCGGAGCAGTCAACAAAAAATGATTAACGATTTTGGCATTGTATCAATTCGCATTCGAAGAGCCGCCGACAAAATTTTCCTACGCTGCTGAAAATTCCGTATCAGCGAGTGCTACCACTTATCAAAATTTATAAACTTAAGTGAAACATTTAATAACCGTAGCGCACACATTGTTCTGGTTTATCATTCTGTTGTGTTGTAGTTATAAGTACACGTGAGCATCAATAAGCACTTGTATAAGTCATTGATTGGTGATTTGTGTCAACATGCCGATGCTGATTCGTAAATTATTTGATGAGTCTATGACGTAAAAGAATTCGCAAAAGTTTGTCATGAATTCAAAGCCCACATTTGCAGAATAAAATTGGCACAGTTTGTTTACCCCAAAATTAGATACAAATTCAGTGGTCACATACAAAAGAGATTATTCAAAAAAAAAAAAAAAACAAGTGAGAACGCTACAGTCGAGCAGGCCCGACTGTGAAATACCCTGTACCCCAACAAACTTCCGGCACTGCTGAAACGAGAAACTTTTCTTAAAATTGTGCGATGTAGACGAAATTTGAAGTAAAATTAGATAATTGTATACAGATTGTGCAAGTTTGGTTGTAGCTTTTGAAATGTGGGCAGTGTTGGAGAAAATTCTGTGGCGCAAGGGGGGTGGAATTAAAAAATAAAGTAAGCTCGTGTAGTAGGGAGTACGAGCGTCGAAATACCAATGTTGGTTAATGTGCCCACAGCTGTTTCCAAAATCCAGGTGTTCATCCAGACGGACAGACGGGCGGACGTGTCTAGATCGATTTCTCTCGTCATGGTGATTATATGTATACTTTATACTAATGTATGCAACATGAACGAAGGAGGGAATGCTGGAGTCGAGTGGGCTCAACTCTATCAACGGCGTGGGCAAGGAGGACCCTACAAATAATTTCGCAATATGAAGTCGACCACACATTCATTATTATGGCTCACTATTTCGCCTTAAAATGTAACTGAGTTGGATTTCTTGATTTTTTTTTCATCATATCATATGCATAAATTAAATTAATTCGTGTTTTTGCGTGTTTATGTGCTTGTATGTGTGCAGTACAAAATTAAGTCAAAGCAGCAACAACAACAACAATCACTTATAGCCGGGAAATCGTTCTTTCTCGGACATAGGAGAATCTGAATACCAAGTTTGGTTATTCTAGCTCTTATACTTTCTGAGATCCTTGCGTTCATACAAGTGTGGACAGACGGGTGGCCGGGCATGGCTATATCAACTCGGCTTGTCACCCTCATCAAGAATATATATACCTTGTGGGGTCTCCTTCTGTGTGTTACATACATTCGCACTAAAGTAGTATACCCTTTTACCGTTTGGGTACAGGGTATAATAAGAAGCGTGGTAAGACCCACAATATATTATATATATTATTGATGAGATTGACAAAGCGAGTCGATATAGCCACATCCGGCTGCAAGAACTCGACAAGTATACGAGCACTTGGTATTTTAATTTCCCAAGCGCAAATCACGGCAAGGTTCTGGGGTTTCCCCTTGATGTACTTCACACTTCACTCTCCCTCCATCCGCGATGTTTCCATAGCTGGCATACTTATTACTGGCAAGCTTTAATATTTGACAATTACATCCGGTTAGTGCTTATGTATCATTGAGTTCTATTCGAATCCGAAAGCTCCACCAGCAGCTGTTGTTCTTGTTGCTGCTTTGGCTTAACCTCGTACTACACACAGAAAAACACAAAGTCGCAATCCAATAATATCGTACAATTCAGTTCCTGACATCCATTGTACTACAAGTATATATGTACTAATAGAACTGGAAAAGTATGTTTCAGCCGGATACTATACCCACTTGCCATACATACTATATATACTTGCCAAAAGAGTGTGTGCTTTAGACCGCCCGCCAAATGACTTCTAGTTCACGGGTGTCATGAGGTTGTACTCACAAATCTATCTTCGATTCCTGACGGATTGTCAACACTTTCGACACGGGTTCTGCTATTCGGTTATTTCATTTAAATTACAAAATAAACAATGTGTAGTTGCGGCAATCATTTCAGGTAAATTCCATCAAAACAATTAACGGAAATACCTATAAAACTACAAATCAAAATTATCTAACGATAAGCTGGAAAGGTGGCCACTTGATGCGTCTGTATTTGGGGCAACGAGTGGGCGACATAGTACTCGAACATCAGCCTCTAGATGTGTGCGACTACGACTCATGGTAGCAAGGCCTGCATTTGGCCTAACCCCCTATCCAATATTGGGGACTTGAGGCTGAAGTACCCCATCGTTGGGCGACAGTTCAGTGTAAGCACAGCAATCAAGACATCACCTGCCTCTCTCCTTATCACTCTGGTAGTTCAAGTGTAAAATGCACAAATGGCGCAATTTCTGTACGAAAAATAAAAACAACACTAACAGATTTCAAGACAATCGCTCTACATACTCGTATGGCTTCGGAGGCATCGCTCCGAGAGCAGTTGACGCGCATAGCCATGATTACTAGATGAATGTGCTATGGAACGGGAACGGACCCTTGATAAGATAATGCACTTGTAACTTGTGCTCATAATACACCCAGTGTGCGAGTGCTAGCCCGAGAATTATTGATTTTGTATTTGCTTTGGGTGTACGTGTGAATACATGGAAAATCTTTAAATTCATGCGTTTCGGCACACGCAGCGACATTTCAGTTTTTGATTTGGAGGCTTACAGTTGACGACTCGATTAGCGGTTGGTGCGGCTTTTTGTGCTGAACGTGTATCGTGTTAATAAGAAGAGGCTCTAAAGGAATAGGAAACAAATGTAAGGATATGCCTATTCTCGGATGTTGTTATCTTGTTTCTGTTGACGAGTGAATCATAATCATTTGTGCCTCTTGCATAGAATACAAAAAGTTCAGAGTGTCAGGGATCGTGCACCTAACCATAACTCCGAAATTCAGATTCAGAATTTGGGAAACTGTTTTCCATTGTGTTTGTGGAGAATTGTTTAATATTTAACGCTAATTTGGAGGTTTTAAAAACTGTCAATAAGCACTTCATGAATTTCGTTATATGTACATACAAGCTAATAGCAACACAAACACGTTTTAAAGAGTGCAATTAAATTAATTTTCTAATTAGTGGGAATTAAATAATCGTAATGAACGAACACATGAAAAACGATGAAATCAAACTCTCACATTAGATTGTGCAATTCACTTTTTTCACATACTACGCAAAAGTATGACTTTTATTAAAAAGTTGTCATTGTACTTACTTCTCTTTTGTTGTTAACCAATTTACTTTAGGTGCTACATAAAAACTGCAAAAAAGTGATGAGCTATTGTATTCAATACAATTAATGAAGCTTGCAAATCACGTTAAAAAGTCCACCTAATGAATGTATCTGTAAAAATGAAATTCATAGCCCGGAAAGTTTCTCTAAAAATAACATGTTTTTAACACTATATACATGGGCTATACTGATCGAAGACAACCGAATGGCCTAATCGGCATACTTGTAATTGATTTTTGTAGCACCAACTAAGACCCGCTGCGACTGGCATTAGATGTCAAGAGGCAGCACTCATTGAAAATCATTTAATGCCGCAGTTAAGCGATATAATTACAAATGGTGTGCGCTAATTAATCTTTGTCAAATGAATTAGAAAGTGACTCTCGATTGTTCTATTGTCCAACAGCTACTAGATCCGAATACGCCAGACGCCATAAATGAACCACGTGGAGGAAGAGCGCGTCAAGAACACGTACAAGTATTCAGAAGTAAGTCACTTCCAGATGGGCGACGGATTTACACGGAACATGGAGCCGGTTAAGACTGGTCGCATATTTCTGGCAGCAGTAGCAGGTGAGTCTGTTCACGGGTCTCAGTGAAGGTTTTTCTTCACATTAACTTCTCACAACCATACACGCAGCCAACCTTTCTGCCTTTGTTGTGGGCACCTGTCTGGGCTGGACATCGCCTGTTGGCCCCAAACTGAAAGCCGAAGATACCTCAGACTCGCCTTTAAGCAAGCCCATCAATGCTGAGGAGGATGCTTGGATTTCATCTTTGATCGCCATCGGCGCTTTGATAGCGCCTTTTGTGGCCGGGCCACTAGCTGATCGCATTGGCCGCAAATGGGTACTCCTCTCCAGCTCGGTCTTCTTTGTGATCGCTTCCATTCTCAACATGGTGGCCACTGATGTGGTCGTACTCTACTGTTCTCGTCTGATCCAGGGCTTCGGCGTGGGTTTTGTGATGACTGTAACCCCGATGTATGTCGGTGAGATTGCTACAGACAGTGTGCGCGGCGCCACCGGATCACTCATGCAGCTCTTCATTGTTTGTGAGTATCGCTTTCAAGCTTAAACCTTGCTTCCAATGCCCAATCATTCAAAGGCGTTACCATGCCTAGAGACAATGAGATAGGCCTAAGATATAGAACATGACACAAAATAATTAATTGGCAGGAGAAGTCTCATCATCACTTCCTACTTACAAATTCAATTAATTTTTGTGTTTAGGCACTCATATCGAAACTGCAGTGTGTTTGTTTACACGTTCTATTTATTTGATATGTAAGTTTTCAACATCCATATAATAGAAAGGGTATATGTATGTGAACGACCAGCATGGCGACACAAATCCAAAACTACTACTCCAGTTTATTGGGACACAGATACAGAGATGTCGAGATCAACCATGTCAGATCTTTGTTGTCAACAGTTGTTATGGAATCGATATGCTTCCAGAGTGATTATCATTTTAAAAATATTGCTGAAATTAGTAAACAATACTTTCTAAGTCAAATTTAGGTAGTGTGGAACTTATACTTGTACCTTGAGCGATATGTTCATGGTCCATGCTCATGGCGGAGTAATGTTTTGTGTTATGGCAGAGTGGGGGAAAAACGGCTCAGCGCCGAGGAAAGTCTATTTTTAGCGAGCTTGAATTGAACCTTGCAAAAGTATTTTTTTTAAAAGCCTACGCATTAAAAGCGCCAATAATATCCCCTATGTTTGAAGACCTAATTGACAACACGTACCCAAAAACAAGTAAAAAAGCTAAAGTCGGGTGTCCCGACTTTGAAATACTCTGTACATATGTTTACAATAATTATAGAAAATAAAAAAAATTAAGAAAATAAAAAAAAAATTTGATCGATTTTACCTCTCTCGGTATTCGAACTCACGTAAAGGGTGTATAATTGCACATTTACATAGCAATTGCGTCTGTGTGAGTGTATGTATGCCTATGCGCATCAATTCGTGTCTGTGTAAGCATTTTCGCAGTCAACCAAACAGCAACATCAACAACAGCCGCGGGCAGCGCTTGAGCAGCGCTGCAGCAGCAAATATATTTATGGCTATAACTTCTTGTTAAATCGGTCTATCATAATGAAATTTGGCATACGGACACATAATAACTAACTGGGGGTATTTCCAAAATTTTAGTTCGAAATTCCAAGAATTACGGGAGTTACGATTTGCGGGGTAGAGGGGGGAGGGAGGGGAATTCCAAAATATACATTTTCTGCGTATTCACATAAGGCATCTGGGACTAAAATTTGGTGTTCCTAGGTCTTATAGTCTCCGAGATATAGGCGATTATACGAATGGAAAATCGGAAAAACCCCCATAGGGGGGAAGTGGGGGGGAAAATCAAAAAAATAAAACAAACTCGTATAGAATACACACATAACGCATCTTCGTGCAAAATTTGGTGTCTCTATCTCTTATAGTCTCTGAGATCCAGGTGTTCATACGGACGGACAGACGGACAGACGGACAGACGGACAGACAGACAGACAGGGCTAGATCGACTCGTCTCGTCATGCTGATCAAGAATATATATACTTTGTGGGGTCTGCCACGCCTCCTTCTGCCTGTTACATTTTTCAGCTCCCGCAAACCTAATATACTCTTGTACATTTCATGTACAGAGTATAATAATGCTACTTTATTTTTCACCCCAGCCGGTATTCTCTACGTCTACGCCATTGGACCATATGTCTCCTATCAGGCGCTGCAGTGGTGTTGCATTGTCACGCCCATTATCTTCGATGCCGTTTTCTTCTTCATGCCCGAGAGCCCCTACTATTTTGCGGGCAAGGGCCGCAAGACGGACGCTCTGCGATCGCTGCAATTTCTTCGTGGTCAAAGCGCTGAGGCAGTGCACGACGAGATGGCGGAAATTCAAGCGAACGTGGAGGAAGCGATGGCCAATAAGGGCACCATTATGGATTTATTTAAGAACTCAGGCAACCGCAAAGCTCTATTCATTTGTGCCGGCCTGATTGCGTTCCAACAGCTCTCCGGCATCAATGTAGTTCTCTTCAACAGCCAGTCGATCTTCGCCAGCGCCAACACGGGTCTCGATCCGGCTGTTGCAACCATAATTATTGGCTGCGTACAGGTCGCCTCGTCCGGTCTAACGCCTATTGTGGCAGATCGCCTGGGACGCAAGATCATGTTGCTTACGTCGGCCAGCGTAATGACTCTGGGTCTAGCTGCTCTTGGTGCCTTCTTCTACATGCAGCTGGAGGTCGGCGATATATCCAGTGTAGCTTGGATGCCAGTGCCAGCCTTGATAGTGTACAACATTGTTTACTGTACAGGATTTGGTCCATTGCCGTGGGCCGTCCTGGGGGAAATGTTCCCGGCAAACATTAAGTCAGTGGCCTCGTCCATGGTTGCGTCGACCTGTTGGATACTCGGCTTCGTGGTCACTCGTTGGTATCCAGCGCTGGACGCCCTGGGATCTTACTACGCTTTCTGGCTGTTTGCCATCTTCTGTGTGGTAGCCTTCTTCTTCGTCCTATTCGTCGTGATGGAGACAAAGGGCTTGAGTCTGCAGGAGATTCAGGATCGTCTCAACGGCAAAACCAAGTAAACGCCTATAGCAAGTGTAAGCTATGTGTGTAAGATAATCTGTGCCGGTCACGTGGCGTATTGTGTCCTTTGCTTTATAGTTAAGACCTTTATGCAAGTATTTTATTGCCTAGTTGTAAGCGTAAAGTTTAATCGGTAATTATTACGATGTTTCCTAAATAAAATAGTAGCGTGTTAATTGAGTTTTGTACACTCCTTACTTAAAAGTGAAGATGTAGCCTCTTGGTGAAAGGTATGTATGTATATCTTTGCCACAGCCGAGTATTAGTTCCTGTGTCGATTTATTTATTTATTTGACAATATCGAGGATATTTTTAAATACATGCAGACATGGCGGGCAAGCCTGACAGTAAAATACCCTGTACTCTCCATAAAAGAGGGAAATTTAAGAAAAATTAAATTAAATTATTTAAAAAAAATTAAATTAATTAATTAATAATAATAATAAACATCAGAATCGTGTCTTTGCGTGTTTATATGCGTGTATGTATGCAGCACAAAGTTGAACCAAAGCAGCAACAACAGCTGCGGGCAGAGCTGCAAGCAGAGCATAAGCAGCGATTTTATTTATGCCCAAGGGCGTACGCAGCTTTTACCAAAGGGGGGCCAAAAAATTAAAATTTTGATTAAATAATGCTCGATGCATTTAAAAAATAATGTATGCATATTATCAATGAAAAAACTTCAACAAATGCAACTCAAGTCCATTTTAAGTCGAAATAGTACATCATAATAATGAATGTGTGGTCGACTTTATATGGAAAACCCCTTATGGGGTTTTTTCGTAACGCCATTCGTATAATCACCTATATCTCGGAGACTACAAGTATAAGACCTAGGGACATCAAATTTGAAGTCCAAGATGCCTTATGTGAATACACAGAAAATGTGTTTTTGGAATTCCCCTCCACCCCCCTCTCCACAACAAGTCGTGGTTTTCTCTAACTCCCGTAATTCTTAGAATTTCGAACTCAAATTGCAAATACCCCCAGTTAGTGATTATGTGTCCGTATGCCAAGTTTCCTTATGATAGTCCGATTTAACTGGAAGTTATAGCCATAAATATAATTGCTGCCCAAGAGCTGCCCGTAGCTGTTGTTGATGCTGGTGCTTTGGTTGACTGCAAACATGCTCACACAGACACGAATAGAAGCGCATAGACACACAGGGTATTTTACTGTCGGGCTTGCTCGACTGTAGCGTTCTATCTTGTTTAGTTAGGACTGCTTTTAAAACATTATTTAACGCATGTTAATTGAGCGAACTTGATGCTGCAGTACTACCTGGAGTGAATTTGTTTCGCACATACACGGTGTGTTCCAAAGTAAACAGGACTTTAAAAAAAAAACAGAACAAATGGTTTTTTCGGCAAAATCAATTAATTTTATTCAAAATAGTCTGCTTCAATACAGCTTTTTGCACGTTCCAAAAGCATGTCGAACGAGTGTTTTAGCTCAAAATAGCAGAATTAACTGGATGAAAAATTCCGTTTTACGGAAGTTGTGGAAAATCGCTACTTGCGATGGGGAGAGGAGCAAAATTCTGAAACACACATTTTCTGTGTATTCATATAAGGCATGGCTTGGTCTAAAATTTGGTGGTTCTAGCTCGTAAGGTCTCCGAGATATGGTTGATTATACGAACGGCATTACGAAAAATTCCCATTATCGCGGAGGTGCATCAAAAATATAAAATTTAGTCAGCGTACACACATAAGGCATCTTTGTGCAAAAATTGGTGTCTCTAGCTGTGTGTTCATACGGATAAACAGGGCTAGATCGACCCGTCTTGTCATGCTGATCAAGAATATACACACTTTAAGGGGTCTGCCACATTTTTTACCTCCCGCGAACTTAACATACATTGTACATTTCATATACAGAGAGTAAAAATAAGTCAAAAAAGTCTCGCCCCCTCTGGATTAAATGATGGCTACGTCAAGTAAATAATTTTTTTAGATATTCGTGAAAATGGATTTTTATGCCCTTTACCCATAGGATAAAAGGTTATACTAGTTCTGTGCGAATGTATGTAACAGACAGAAGGAGGAGTGGCAGACCCCACAAAGAATATATATTCTTGATCAGGATGACAAGTCGAGTCGATATAGCCATGTCCGTCTATCCGTCCGTCCATCTTTCTGTAAGAACGCAAGGATTTCGGAAAATATAAGAGCTAGAATAACAAAACTTGGTATCCAGATTCTCCTGAGTTGGAGAAATGACGAGTTTGTGTTTTTTTTTTTCTAATACACTCCCCCGCAATTCGTGTTTTTTTCCATAACTCCCATAATTTGTGGAATTTTGAATTCAAATTTGGTTATTACATCCAGTTAGTGATTATGTGTCCGTTAAGTATCATCATGATTGGTCAATTCTTAAGAAAGTTATAGCCATAAACAAGGGCGTAGGCAGAAGGGGGGATGTGGGGGGAAAAATAAAACAAACTCGTACAGCATACACATAAGGCAACTTTGTGCAAAATTTGGTGTCCCTAGCTCTTATACTTGTAGTCTCTGAGATCCAGGTGTTCATACGGACGGACGGACAGACAGACATAAAGCGACTCGTCTTGTCATGCTGATCAATAATATATATATTTTGTAGGGTCTGCCACGCCTCCTCCTCCACAAAGTATATACAGTGAAAACTCCCTTAACGGACACCTCTTTTAACCGGACACCCCTCTTAGGCGGACACTTTTTCTAGAACATTCGTTTTGGTGTACTTTTTAGAGCAAGTTCACCGTTTTTGTTCGGACACTCTCTTGACCGGACGCGGACACTATTTTTCGAGACGCGTACCTTTTGGTAATGGACGTTTCAAATGCATGGAAAATAGTTTCATATTTTTAATACTTCTTTTATTTCTTTCTACGTATACCTATGTGATTTACTCGTACTACAGGATTTTTATAAAATAGCCTAACTTCCGCTATTTGTGCACATATTATTGTTATTATATAATTATTTCACAGTTATATAAGATATATAATAATAATAGGAGTTCTTGAACAAATATTGAAAATTAAATTAAATGTGTAGTTATTTAGCTCAAGAATGGTTGCAAAAGGAAAATATTTTAATTTTATAATAATTTGCAAGAGTAGTGAATATCTGTTTTCTTCTACCATGGCTGAAGCCAAGCACTGCACTTCTGAATGGCGCACATTTACTCCAAAATTGGTTTTTAAGGAAAAAATTTACAAGGTTCAAAATATAGTACAAGTATATAAATGTAAAATTATTGAATGAATTTGGATCTTCATTTTTATAAGTGATTGTTATATGTAAGTATTTACAAAATCCTAAAGTATTTTTTATATTGAATAAAGTCAATTTATTTTAATCGCCTAAATAGAAAAACAATTTAAATAAGCAAAAGTGAGTGTCCGGCCAAGAGAGGTTTCACTGTATATTCTTGATCAGCATGACAAGACGAGTCGATCTAGTCCTGTCTGTCTGTCTGTCCGTCTCAGAGACTATAATCGACTATATCTCAGACACTATAATAGCTAGGGACACCAAATTATTTAGTCAGATGCCATATGTGAATACGAAGAAAATGTGTATTTTGAAATTTCCCTCCCTTTCCCCCACAATCACTGATTTTCCAAAACTCCCGTATTTCTTGGAAAATTCATTGAAATTCGGAAAATGTCTCCAGTTAGTGATTATGAGTCCGTACGTTTCAGATTGATAAGCCGATTTAACAGGAAGTTATAGCCACTGTATGTATATATGACCAAGCAGTGACCGCAGCTGTTGTTGTTGTTGCTGTTACTGCTTTGCACAAGCACACGGACACACAAACACACCATACACGCATAATTATTCTGCACATTTGTATGTACAGAGCATTTCAAAGTCGGGACACCCGACTTTAGTTTCTCTACTTGCTTTTTTTCTAAAAGTGTGGACAAATTCTTTTTGCATCTCGGAAACAGAAAAAAAGAACAAATGTTCAATGATAGTCTTTTGGAGAAGGCCCATGAGCAAAATGATTATTTTAATGCGATCGAAAGTGTGGAAAGTGTATATTTACAAAATATGCAGTTTAAAGGGTTAACTATGCAAGTGTGGTGTTTTTGTATGCCTTCACCCTGAAGCTGAATGATATGACATACTATGTTATGTTCGAGTGTCAAAAGCTGGTCAGTTTATTGATACACTAATATGAAGTGTGAAAATAGTCGCATTAGGGTTTCGTTCCATGGTGAGTATTTTGATGTGGTGTGTTCTGAAAGAAAACAAAATGCTATAAAGTTGAAAGAGATTACACTTTATCTTGGTTTTGGTTGGCTCAACTATTAAATACCATGTACAATTTTAATTTATGAAATAAAATAAAACATATTCAATACTTTAATTTGGAAAAATATTTGATTTTTGTCGTGGGGACCAATTACCTAAAACCCTTTACCCACTTTGTGATGTTAATATTAACCATATAAACTTTTGTACCTACATACATTTATTGATACAGTGAAAACTCCCTTAATGGACACCTCTTTTATCCGGACACTCTCTTCGGCGGGCATTTTTTCTAAAAACATTCGATCGGTGTATAAAGTATTTAAGTATCCCCTTAAGCAGACACCCCTTGAATAAATTGTTATTGGGTTTGTGTATAATCTAATGTACATATGTAATCCATAATGTACATTTCCTATCATAATGAAACTTGGCATATGGACACGGTCAAAAATATATATACATAGGGTCTATCACCTGTTACATTTTTCACCTACTGTACATTTACAGACTACATAAATTTCCTGAACCCAAAAAGGAACCTGATCTGTTATACGCACGCAGACATAGGTGAGGGAATCCGCTACAGCAACTCGCCTGGCATAAATCAGTTTTGCAATTATTTATGAATATGATTATTACTATTTTATTCATTTTTTTTTTAATCAACCGATTTAAGCAAAATTTGTAAAAGAGGTAGAGCATTAAATATAATTTTTGTACTAAAATTTTGACACTATTATAAGTGGACACAGTATTAATTGTAGACAGTACTAACAAAAAAACAAATAAATACAAAAAAAATTGACGTGCCGGGGGAAATTAAATTTTTTCAACATGCCATTTGTTTCACTACAAAATTTGGCTTTATGTTTATGTGGGCATTTTTAGTAACAAACATTTGTTTTAGGTGGCAGCACGCTGTCGCATAGCAAGCAGCCTTTGCCATGTACCTAAACATGGGCAGCGTTGCACAAAATGCTAAACGAGTTCCTCAGTCGTGTGTATGTCCGTTTCTGTGTCGGGCGGGTGCGCGTGTTTTATTGTGTGTGTGCAAAACAGCGAGAGGTGTTAAATGTTATAATTTTATTTAAAAGAATCTAGAATAAGCAGAAATTAATCATTTATTATTTTCAAATGTGTGCGTGTTGTGAAAGCGTAGTGACAAAGTAATTCAAAGCTAAAGTTAACTCTGAAGAGTCCAATAGGAATAATTTTAACAACAAAGCTATATAAGCACAGTCAAGAAGAAGATTCACATGAGAAACAGAACTGACATACTCACGCAACCATACATCCATATGTACATCCAAACGTAAATACTGCCGTTATAATTTGTAAACCAAAACATATGTATATCGCTTTTTATTTATGCATCCGTGAGATACCTCCCCTATTTCTGCCGTTTCTGCCGTGTCTGCCGTTTTGTTCTCTCTGTTATTGTTTTCAATCGCGAGTGGCACTTTCCTGATTGAAGTGAAGAACGCGTTAAAATGCAGCGGCCAGTGATTTGTATTTAAATAAAACGCAACTGCATCTGAGTGCTTTTCCTGTGGGAGTTCCTCAATCTTAGCCTCAGTCAGAGTCAGGAAGTGATGTCACCGCCTTGGCCTGTCTTCGCAGAGAAAAAGAAACAGAACAGTTATTATCATTGCAGCTGCTGCGCAAACAGCGACAGCAGCACCACAAACGGCGACAACATCTCCGCTGCGCTGGATCCTTAGGATTCTCACACCCATAAGCTCATTGCTGCCACTGCCGCGTCGCATCGCGAAAATGCTATTCCACTTACAGTTGCTACTGCCGGTGCTGCTGTTGTTCGCCAACATATGTTTGCAACACGTCGTCGCTGTCACAGCTGACAATTTGGAGTCAAAAGGTGAGTGCGCGCACAGTCCATATTTGCAATACCCGCTCTATTTGGAAGGCTCCAAAAGATTCAAATCGCACAATAAAACAAATAAATACATAAATAAGAGCCCAAACAGACTCTGACGCTTCTCGCCGAAAACAAGTTACCATTCAAGTTCAAAATCCATGAGACAGTGGAGCCAATTAATAACGGAGTAAATTAACTGCAAATATTTTCATGAGTGTATTTGAATTTTCAACGATTATCCAACGGAATAATAAAGATCAAATATGTCCATATATGTATGTATACATATTACAAAATAAAAATGTAGATAACAGCGAACAGTTTATATATACTACTATATGAGAAAAATCGACAAGGTTTTAATTGTTTCAATAATAAAATTCGCTGGCAATTTTGCGCAATCATAACAAGGCGGGTAGTGAGCAACAATTGAAAAAAACGTATCCGAACTTTTCCCTGACTGTGCCGACTGTCGAAGACAATCCAAGTTTGGTTGCCGCTTTAGCCGAGCAGAGGGCCGTCGTCGTGCAACCTTGACAGTAGCTTGAAAAACCAGATTTAGCCTCATTTTGTTGTCATTGTCGTTGTTGCTACCGCAACGGCAAACACAAACAGAGATTTTGCTCGACACCAGACCAAATAACACAGTCTAAGTTAAGCAGACTGTTATTCAGTCTGTGTTTCCAACCATCCAGTATGTGAGCCAATACTACGGGGAGCTGTAAGTGCTTAGTACCTAAATAATGCAAAAGGCGCCTCCCTGAAGAGAGGGGAGGGGTGAGCAAGCATTTAGTTTGCACTTTGCGTTTATTATTGTTGGCGCTGCTCAGTATTTGTCGTCACTTGTTCAGTGTTTAGCGTTCGTTTATCTTGGTGTCGCGTTTTATCAAAATCTCACGTAGTCCGATATGGATGGGCTTTTATGCTTTTTGCACCACTCCAGGGTTTCTTCCTGCTTGATACTTGCTCTTGTTGCTAGTGTTGCTTCTGTTAGCGTTTGCTGGCCATTTGGTTTTTAAATGCAGAACGGCACTCACGTAACAACAATAGAGAAGCAGCGGCAATACCTTTTTACCTGGCCTCTATTAAGTGGCCGCTTGGGCGGACTGGAGGGTTGGGACCGCAAGACTGACAAAGTGACAGACTGTCAGATTGGCAGACGTAGCGACTTTTGCATTTTGTGGAAAGGGGGCAAAAACAAAAACGATCGATTTTATAAAACAAGCGGCACGCAGCATTTGCTCTTTTTGTGGGGCTGGTGGCAATTGTTGCTTTTTTGGCTATTAGTGCTTCATTTGTTGTTGTTATGTTTGGCACGCAGGTTTATCTCTCTTTTGTTTCGTTTTTGCTTAAGCAACCCATTAAATGTACTGCGAACAACTTTCTTTTTCACTTTTAAAAGACAGCATGCAGTGAATTTTCAAAAACGATTTCAAGAATTTAACGTTTCCACACGTTTTGTTTGTTTGTTGTTTTTAATGATCAGCACTGTTAAGTGAGATCACATTTTAATGCATGTCTTACCTGCAACTTTAATCAATTTTATTTTGTTATCAACAAGGCAAAGGCTTTTTAAAGGCCTCGTGCAGTAGGTCCACACTTAATTTCATCTTCAAGTTTTCAGTACCTGTTAGCTGTTAGCCACTGTAAGATTACATATGTACATACTAAACTATGTACAACAATCATACTCTGACCGCCACGTTTGTTGCCGATTATTTTGCAACTGCTTTTGGCAACTGGTTTTGCGGCCATTTGAGTTGATTTTATAATTTTGTACAACTTTTTAAGAAACAATCGCCGTTGCTAACATAAAAGGTATCGCACTTAGCAGTTTAAAAACTCCCGCAACCAAAATGAATACTTACAATTGATCCAAATATATTCTTATCAGACATATTTATATTTTACCCAAGACACACCTAAACAGAAGACCATACAGAAGTTCGAAAGTGTGAAAATTAAAGATGAGTTGACGATCAAAATATACTTGTACATCTTAATTGAAATCAATTGATGCTAATTCGTCCGTTTTCATTATAATCACATCTTAATTGATCTTAAGCCCGACTACATGCAACAGGAAAACACTTCCTACCTTTTTGAACTATTGTCGCTTCAATTTGTTCCCTTGTCCACTTTTCGCAATTTATGCAAATATCATAGTCGAGAGTTGCAAACTCAGCTCCAGCAGCAACTTTCTGTCCCCAGAGTGTGTCTGTGGATTAGGGCTTCCGTTTTAGAGAGGAGGTATCTACTCACTCGCTGCCGAGATGCTCATTTAAATTCTTTTGACCTGACTCAATCAAGTCGAGCTTGAAGCTGCGAGTTTGCAATTGTGGTCGCTATTGTTGTTTTTGTTGGCGTTGTCTCTAATTGACTTTAGCTCGCCCTGCCTTCAGAGCATTCAATAAAGCTGAAGGAGAGGCAACCAACTGACCACTTGAACAATGACTTGTTGTTGTTGCTGCTGGCGAATCGAGTTACACACTGATAGAACAGCCATAGAAAATTAAAGACGTGTCATCACTCACTCCACTGCCTTATAAATGTAAAAGAAGAGTAACACGTTTTATTGCAGTCCGTTGGGTCCCACGTTGTTGGATCCCACGCGGGTACAAGGTTCGGGTGTTGTGATAACCACAATACCGCCTAAGCTGAACCCTCGAGTAAGTTGTCTTTTTACATGGGAAAGCAAGTCGCAGAGAAGTGCCAATAACTGGTCCGAAACCCAGGCCTAATAGTCAAAATTGTGCATGCAAGGCACCAGTGGACAGTTTTTCAATCAGACAATCCAACAGTCCACCAATATGTTAGTCGGTCAGCCAGTAAGGCTGTAGTTGGGTTTGGCCGTACTCCGAGAAGGGGCTTACAAACAATCACAACGACTTTCCTATTCAAATTGAATCATTTCGACAATAATCATCGATCAAATTGACTTTGAACATGCAGAGGGTAGACTGCGCACACTCTTCTCTTATTTAACATTGTTATAATTGTAGCATTTATGGCAACGTTCCACGGACACGTGTGCTGAAGGGTCGCTCTTGATTTTGGCACGTGCTCGAGTCAATCAGCTGTTTTGTTTAGGGGTTGAGGCGCGAGGCCCAAGAGAATTGTGTGCTGGTATTGCACTCAATATGCCCAGTTTTGGGGTTGGTTTAATGATGTTGATCCGAATTCATAGAGCTACGCATACAAAACGGTTAAACTCTACACTCCTTAGACAAAAACTAACCTAATGAGCTTTTAATTTCACGACAGACGAAACAGCAGAGAATGGATATAGTATATTGTTAGTAGTATATTATTGGATTATTCATATACATAGACTCGATTCTAATGTAAATATATATAAATAATAATATATAAAATATACAGACAATGGGAATTTAAGAGCGCGCCTTGCATTAGTCATCATCAAGTGGGTTCTGCAGTTTAGGGGTTTCGAGGAATTCGATATTCTTTGCGTTTGCTTGGTGCTTGATGTCTTGGATAACTGAGATTGCTTGGAGTACCTTTCGTGTTCCCAATGATGGCTTAAAAATACTTATATGTTCAATGAATTTGTTAGATTTAAGCGTGAAAATTCACATAAAATGGAAAGTGTAGCACTCGAACTGTTTCTATTTGTTTGCCTCAGGCCAAACAAAACTGATTCGAGTTGCGGCATTTGTTATTATTGGCGCTGCAATCATAATATTGACTGCATCGATTGTATTTTTTGTTGTAGTTATTATTGTTCAACGCCCAGAGTTTGGAAGAAAGAACAACAAAAAAAGGTTAGCCACGACCTCTCCCGGGATATGCAGTTGCTGCCATGCTGCTGTTGTTTTTGATGATTAATCAAAAGGTAAGAACCGATAGGAAAGGGCCGTAATGAGAATATGTAAATAGTTTGATGCAATCGTGGCGTATCGAAATCAAATGCATATACATACATACATACATATAAATATGTACAGCCAAACAAATGTGCATGCATAAGAAGTGCATGCGTTACTGCACTGAGCTTGTACAAGGGAGCTATGTACAAGGGGCCGCGGGTTTTGTATTGCCTAATTTATGCGTAGATTTTTATAGTTTATTTAATAGCACACATGTGATTGGCATAAATAAGTAAGAAATGCCATTCATGCCACTCATACCATACTCAACCAATGCTCAACCATTTCAAAAGTAATAAAACAAAATTCGCAACGGAAGTGCGACAACACGCTAGAGTGACCAGTCCGACCAACCCGAATAACCAAGCCCCGTAGCCTGACTCTTCGCTCTCTCGCCGGCCAGCAGTCACCAGTTTGCCAATTTCTACACGTGAGTGAGTCATAACAAAGTTTTCCGTTGCAAAGGCCACACAGGGAGAACGAGACAGTGGTCTAGAAGAGGCAGAGAGTGTGAGAGAGAGAGAGAGAAAGTGAGCGTTTGTCTGGAAATCACTCATGCACTTAGCAGCCAGCTAGAAGGTGTGCAATTGTGCTTATTTTACAATAAAACGTAACAACGACAACAACAACAGTGCTGACGGAGATGGCGACGCAGACAGCGAAAGCCATGACGTTGCCGCGCTGCTGACGCTGACAAGGTTCACTGAACTGCTACACAAAATTTTGGTTTGCGTTTCATTTACACATTAATATACATAGATACATAGATATAAGTTTTAAAAAAGTTACACAAGTTTTTAGTTTTTTATGATATGCTTCTTTTATTTTAGGAAGTGCATATATGTGGACAGGTATACATTTATATGTACATATATATACACACATGTATATGGGCGTGCATTTGCGCAACTGTCTACACATTTATAACGCACGTACTTGTGTTTCTTTGACTTGCAGCAGGGGACGCACGTTTTGCCTTGAATTTAGGCCAAATATAAATGTTCACGCATATTATAATGCATTGGCAGTTTTCTTTTTATATGTGCATATATACATATGTACATATGTGTAATATTTTCCATAGCATCCTGTGTCCAAATGTCCCGGCATATA